AAGGGAGAAAGAGTGAGCAGAGAGGAAACTGTCCAGGACGAGGGGTCCAGGCCTCCAGAACCAGCCGCCATAATGGAAACTCAGGGCCAAGGATTCTCTCCTCCGATGGCAACTCCCGAAATGCCTGCTCCCTTCCTGCTGCGGTGCCAGCGGGCGGCCTCAGTGACACCGCCCACCACACCCATGACTCTGAAGTAGCTAATGCTTGGCACCGCGCAATGCCCGTGGCAAACCAAGGCCCAGAGAACCGGGATGGGGCTCAGCGACCTGGAAGAAGATGGCAACGCTTGGCTCACGGGCGCTGGGAGAGGAGCGGCCACGTGGTGGACCAGCCCGAGGAAGCCCGAGTACACAGGTCCCGTGCTGCCCGGTGTCAAGGCGAGAGCCCGGGTGGCTGGCTGGCGCTGCCCTCTGCGCCACGGGGCAGTCGAAAGCACGGCCCCCCAATCCCTACGCCTGGCAGGACCCAGAGCCGCGAGACCCTGGTGTTGGGTGTGCACCTTGTTCCCGTCTCACTGCTCGGAGGCCCTCCCAGCAGGCAGGCCCAGGAAGCGTGTGTAACCCACGAGGATGTGCACGTCCACCTTTTATTAAGGACCATGTTTCACACTGATGCCTCCAATGACAGTCTAACTCCCCAGGGTGTTCTAGCCGATCCATATCATGTCTACTTCCTCGGCCACAAGGCTGGTCCCCATCGTCCTCAACATGTGTGCACCATGGCCCAGCCCCGTGTGCAAGGAACCCCCGCCCCGCGGGCGGCCTCGGCCAGTGCCCCTCACACGGGCTGTGCCGGCCCGGTGCCCAGCAGTGCGCCAGGTAAGTGCCCTGGCCTGTGAAATAAGACAGGTTTGCTTTTCTCTCTTTTTAAATAAAAGCCTTTCGTGCCAGGAATCAAGACCTACGACCATTTTCTCACTAAAGCGCTGCCATTTGGCTTAAGGTCCCCGTCTTCCACTGGGCACCTCCCTCGTTTCCCTTTCTGCCTGGAGACAGCAATAGGTGAACATCACGTTTTTCTTCGCTTCCCAGGAAATTTGCGTTTCTTCTTTTCCCGCGGACCCCTACTCCAATGCTTTCTTGTTCAAGAGCAGCTTCTGGTTTAAGGACTGCATGAGCTTTTCTCTCAGACCTTCCACTTTAGGTCAAAACTATCTCTTTTTTCCTGGGAGGAAAGAAAAGTGAGTCTCACACTTGATGTGCTGCTGCTCGGGGGCCATGGGCCCCTCAGCACTCCCCCCCCCCCCCACGTCCCTCCTGGCCCAGCCCAGGGCACACGGGAGGGGCATGACACTTCCCTTCTGTGAAGCACTGTAAAACCAGGTACACAAAATAAACAACTTAAAGGGGAGAAGGGAGAGCTGTGTTTTTATACATGATCATGTCTGTGGTATTTCTGCCCAAAGTACCTAAATCAAATCCTGGGCAGAATTAAGACACCTCTCAAGGCCATTCTGCAAAACAACTGCCAGTACTTCCTACAAAAGAGGCAAGGTATGAAAGAGAAGACTGAGGGACAGGGGGCTGAGCCTCCTGGGCTGCGCACAGTAGGTCCTGGGCCAGGGAGGAGGAACGGACGTCAGCTGTTACTGCTGGTGGTGGTGTTTTCCTATAAAGGACATTTTGAGACAGTAAAAAATTTAAAATGGATTTGTGGATTAGATGGTAGTATGATCTCTATGTTAATTTCTTGATTTTGATGGGTACACAATGGCTATATTGTGGAAAGTCCTTGTTTTTAGGAAATACACACAAGTGTTTGGGGTCATGGGCACAGTGTCTACAACCTAAACAGACGGGTGGAC